ATAATATAACAACAATATAATGATAACAACCCTTGGCCGTTTCTCTAACTGTGGTTGTTCAGAAGTACTCTGGACCATAGGATTTGGGTGCTTAAATAGTATGAAATGGATTTACTGGTGTGATAGTCAATGCAAACTGCAGTCAAGGCACTTGCCACAGCCCTAGCAATCATAGCCCTTTGAAAAAAAAAAAAAAAGGCCAATGTTCTTCACTGCTTTGCCATTATAAGACTATACAGCAAAGTCCTGAGTGGACCTTGCAGATCACTGAGTCCAGCCACTGCTATTGAGGTTAACCATATTTCATAATCCTTTTTCATAAACTTCCTAAACCCAAAGCCTGTTTCCTCAGCATCTTTTCCAGGCCTTAATGCAGTCATGTGTTAAACGTGCTGTACCGTGGGACTTGCAGGGTCACTCTGGAACAGACAGGTCTCAGGAAGCCTGTGGCAAGGTGCAGCTGCTGTGTGTTGGCTGGGCAGGGCTGGCTGAATGCCAGATGTGACCTGGCCGGTGTCATAGTACTCTGTGTCTGGCCAGCCTCACTCAGGTTTCCCTTATCAATTATGTTGCTATAATTCAATACAAGAGACACAGAAACTCCCTAGGTGGTCTTAGAGTAAGAGCTTCCCAGCTTGCCCTTATGAGTGTTCAGAAGACAGTGCTTGTGCTACTCCCAGCAACGATGCGCTTCCAGGGTCCAGGCCAAAGGACCGGCTAGGCAAAGCTGCAAGCCAGAGATCAAGAGGGCACTAAGTCACTTGAAAAGGCTAAGAGGGAAGGGGGGAGTTGATAGTGAACTGGTTTGTGGACGGAGCGAGCTGCAGGGAGCTGTTGAAGCAGCTGTGGACTTCTCAAGGTTTTGAGAAGGAATATGTGAAAAATATTTGGAGTCAAAATATGCTGTGATTTTTCCTTAAAAAAGCAGCTTTGCTCCTGTGTACTTGTAATTAGAGCACTAGTGAATCATGCGGTTACAGACCTCAAAGGGAAAGCATGGTCCCCAAAGGGTGGCATGACCAACATCTCAAGAGGGGTGTGTGGTGGTGGCAGCGGCTGAAGAACTCTGAATGGAGTGAGGAAGGAAAAAACAGTGTGTGCTGCATGCTGCCTCCTGCTCCCAGGCACAGTACCAAGCGCTTGCATTTGTACAGCCAGCCTTTATCTCTCCCATTAAAAAACTTGCAAAGAGGTCAACATAGTCCTCTATCTTCTTTTATACCTTTTTCAAATATTTTTAGAGGAAAGCGTTTTTTGTTGTTGTTTGTTTTTTTTTGTTTGTTTGTTTGTTTGTTTTTAAATCCAGTTCGTAGACCTCTTTAGCTCTTCTGGGAATTCTGCCTTTGGGGCAGAACTGAAGGCTGGACACAGTCACTCCCTATGGCTCTGAGCATGAACCGCAGCCTGTGAGGAGCTTGTTGTGAAAAACTGAGATTTATGGTGCTCCTCATTGAGGAGTCCATGCGCCCGGGCCCGCTCCCATGACATGGGACGATGGAGGTCCCACCCCTGTGACAGAAACAAGCGGCAGACCTGGAATATCAACACTCAGAGCACACACTGCAGCAGCTAGAGGATAAAGAGTTAAGGGGCCAAAGAGGCCAGAGCTGTCTCTAACCATCACTTTAATAGTAGCTTTTCCAGAGCCACAGAGGAAGCAGCCTCACCTAGGCAGGAATTGGTCTGACTTCTCCATCTTCCTAGAAATCCTAATAGCCTTCAGTGAGATAGACTGTAACTGCTGAGGGAAGCCCTAAGGAGTCCACGCAGGGAGGCTGCAGTTCCCTCTCATGCACACACAGGGAAGCTCAGAAGTAAATGATTAATGGTGCTTGATTTGATCTGCTGCTACAACTAAATACTGCCTGGCAGAGCTCAGCAGTCTCCCTCAGGTGCTAATCCATACTGGGCTGTTTCAAAGAGTTCTTGGGAAGCTGGAGCTTAGATAACCTCATTACAAGCCATTAGGGAGGTATTTCAGTTACATTAATGTATTATATAACTACTGAAGATATCCACATGCTGTTCCTATATGAAAATATATATTAGAAAAATCATTTGGGTAGCTGAAATTCTTTAGTAATATCTAAATGGCTTATGAATATGATGGATATTTGGATATAAGGATATTCATTGATTCAAGACAATTTTAGTAAATATATTCTGTTCTTATGTTTGGCTAGGAGTGACTTTTTTGATCTTTGTGTGAATGGAAGTTATGTGTTAGGTTTTTAACTGTCAAATTCAGACATTTTTTATATGACAAATATCATGAAGAGACCCTGAGCTGTTAGGAAAATAGGTTTAGGCAGAACAGGTGTAAGATTCTTTGATAAGCTATGGGCATTTTTCACAAAACTTCTATTAATCATTCACAAACCTTTTATCACCTATTTCACGAATACTTGACAGAAAATGCCTGGAAATATGCACTAGCAGAATGTTTTATCTATCTCAGTATCATTCCCAGGCACTTTACTGAAAGCGGAAACCAGCTCTGGCACCACCAGAGGAAGATCTCTTGAAAGAAGAACCACTGAGACTTTCAAAATTGATTAAGGATGAGATAAAAAATTCAAAAATATGAAAAACTAAAAAACACTTCAAATTATCCGTGCATGGAGGGTCAGGACTGCAAAGACATTTAGGAGTTTATATCTCTTAAGATTAAAGGGAAGGGAGCTACGATTACAGACACTTAGTGCACATAATCCGAGCTGGGGGCTGGCAGGACCAGCACCACCCCCTGCCATCCTGATGCTGGCAGAGCAGGTTCATAATTTCGTTTGTGCCATGCAATTCCTGTAGCTTTCTAGAGTTTTAAAACACGGAACGTCCACCATCTAGAAATGTTTCTGATTAAGACCCATCTTCTTAGATGGATATAGATTACAAGTATTTTCTACATAGGATTTTTTTTCCCAGTCTTGCACAATCCCACCAAAACAATGGGATAAAGAGCATTTAGGGTCTGCGCTTAATTTCAAGGGTGGTGAACTAAACCATTTTTTTTCCAGAAATTAAAGCTTTGCATGAATATGTTTCAAGAAGTAGTCCTGAGTGACGTCTTGCTTATTGTGCATATCTGGGGGAAAAAAAAGAAAAAAGAAAAAAGAAAACTCAGTGTTTAAGGTGACGTGAAAGACAGAGAAGGGCACAGGATACAGGAAGGATGCTCTGCAACCTGCTGCACCCATGACCCACACTCACCCCCATCCCAGCTGCGGCAGCTCCGTTATTACACCTGGCTATAACCTTGCTGTCATGAGGACAGGGCAGGGCTTAAAAAAAAAGAAAAGGAAAAGGAAAAGGAAAAGGAAAGGAAAAGAAAGGAGAGGAGAGGAGAAGGGAAGGAAAGGAAAGGAAAGGAAAGGAAAGGAAAGGAAAGGAAAGGAAAGGAAAGGAAAGGAAAGGAAAGGAAAGGAAAGGAAAGGAAAGGAAAGGAAAGGAAAGGAAAGGAAAGGAAAGGAAAGGAAAGGAAAGGAAAGGAAAGGAAAGGAAAGGAAAGGAAAAACGGCTAAGTAGCCTTAGAGAATATATATATATATATACCTTAACATGCCCTGGATTGTAACGATTGTAAAACAATGTCTGGCATAAGACTCTGCTTGATGCAGGCAAATTTTGGATCAGAGCTGCTACATTTTAGTCATAAAATCAAAGTACTAGAGAATATCCAAGCAGTTACCACAGCTCTGCCCAAGAGAGAGACTTGTCTGACAGAATTTTCCCTATCTTGTTCTTACAGACATGCAGAGAGGGAAATCCCACAATATTTGGGGGTTTATTCAGCCTAGAATAGGCATGACAGAGCTGGCTCAGATACTCAGTCTGATATTCACTATATCCCTGTGATTTTTCCTCACATTTCTGCTACCTATCCAGTCATTCCCCATCCTGCATTTACACAGGCTCTGTCCAACCCTGCGCTTCTTCCTTCTCTGCAGATTTGTCTTCAGCAAGTTGCTGCTGTTATTTGTACACCTGCTTGTTATATTGCAGATGTTTATAGTGAGCGGTTCTCGATAACTGATTCTTTGGTCTGATATTTTTTTTCTGGGATTTCAAGTTAGTCGGACTAGACTCTTTTCCCCTTTCCAAGATGAGCTTTTCTATTTACCTTTCTATTGCAACTTGCCTGTCCTGACAGAGCTCTCTCGATGAGAATTAGCAGCTCTGAGTTTTTATCAACAAATTCTTTAAGAGCATCAGGAGAAAATTACCAAGTTTAGCTGGTTCCTTCATGCCCATTCCTTCCATATTTAAAAGTTTTCAATTTCCTTCCTACTGCTGGCATCATGCTAGCCTCCTGGCCACTAGCATCTTCTCGGTGGAAATGAATGCTGGAAGATATTAAATCTTTCGGCTTTCTTGATGTCCTCTCTGAATAAATTGCTCTTTCTGTTGCTACCAGGCTTTCCTCGGCCTTTCTCTCCAGGGAAAGGACCAGTGTAAGATCAGTTCTTTCTCATACTCAGTGCTTCCTGCTAGTTTTACCTTGTTTTGTCTTTGCTCTTTTCATATGATCTGACCCAACAAAGTGTTTTAATCCCACACTGCTGTAACCGTCGTGGTTTATGTTCCACCTCCCACATATTCCCTCTTGCTTTTGAGATTGATGAAGTTTCATGAAGGTCAATGAGATCAAGCAAGCTAGGTTAGTCTCTCATGGCAAGTTATTCTTTACCTTGGGAGAGATTATCTTTTTAAACCAGTTTAACTTTGCCCTATCTATTGGTTATTGGTTCTTCCAGACACAGGAAGACTAGGGGGAAGCAGTGAAAACCTGCTGATCAGTCAGCACCTGATTGGGCTAAATCTGGGCAATTTCAGTTGTGCACCAGTTGTGCAATTCCACCGGGTAGCTCCTTTTCCCACTTGAAAGAACGAGCAACCCCTCCACATAACGGCTTGCTGGGCGCCAGCGGGCCCGAACCCCGCTGATGCTGCAGGCGGGACTCTCCCGTTTCCCTCGACGCGCCCGGCGCCCGCGGCTCTCCATGACGACCCCGTCCCGTCCATCCCCTCCCGT